CGAGACCTCATATAAGTTTTTTTCTGAATCTGCTGTGATTCTGTCAGTTTTGGAGCCGAAGTGCGTCGCAAATGGGATACAACGCCCAGCGGTTTATATGTGGTAAGTTTTCATGTTTTAGTTTTAATCGTATAGTAAGCAGAGTTGTGGGTTGTGAATTGAAAGACTCCGATTGTCAAAACAAGTTTAATACGAGTAACAAGTAATACAGAGTTATTAGCAATGGCGGGAGCGCGCTCTAGGTCAAGGTACATATGCGAACATATTGGCGGCCGGCACTGGACCTACTGCCGGAGTGGTTGGACAAGTGGCGCATGGCCGTCAATGTTGACAAAACGGTCGCGCTACTTGTCCGCCGCAGTCGCACAGCACCGCCGCCGCCCTTAAGGCTCCTTAATAAGGAAATCGCGTGGGAGAGCACCGTGCGATACCTAGGGGTCGACATCGATCGGTCGTTGAGAATGGTGCCGCAGGTGACGCGAGCCATAGCGCAGGCTCGCGCGGCGCGCGCCTTTCTCCGACCGGTGCTTACGTCCAGGTTGCCGTTACGGACGCGGGTCTCTATTTATGAGACCTACGTCCGTTCACGGTTAACATATGCCGCACCCGCTTGGTACGCACTGTGCTCTCCGACGCTTAGGCGCCGGCTGCAGGCCCAGCAGAACATCGCTCTTCGTTTGTGCACGGGAGCGGGCAGATACGTCCGCAACGACGTTATCGCCCGCGGCTTAGGGGTCCCAACGGTGGAGGAGTTCGTTGTCAGCATGGCGAGCAAAATGTTCGCCCGTGCCGACGGCGGACACCATCAACACCTGAGGGGCCTCGCGCCGCTGCATGCGCGTCCGCCGGACGGCCGTCCCACGCCTAGGGACCTCCTGTGCACAGGCGAATAGTGATCGCGATCGCCTCGTCTACCAGTACGACGACTCCACCTACCCTTTTCCCCATTTCCCTTCTTCGTTCTCATTCCCTCCTCTCGCCCGTTCCAAGTGTGTAATTATATCCTCCGCGTCCAAGCGGGGGGAGGGCCGACACACTTCTTGTGTCGACCCTTACTAACATATTATTTATTTTACTAACACCTATTATATATATCTGGGAACGGGCGAGAGAGGTGAATAATAATAATATTAAAAATAAAAAAAATATATATATACATATATATTAATTTACAAGAACGAAGAAGAGGCCATTACAACAAAAGAAGACACCACGCCGGCATACACAGACCACCAGTGTATGCCGGCTCAAGAACCCAGCGACCCGGAGGTAGTTGCCTCCGGAGATGAAGCCGGGGTAGAGGGGTTTACCCCGAGGCCCCTACCTCGCCCGCCTACACAACAAGGCGGGCAAGAAGACCTGTGATGATGATGATGATGGCGGCCGGCGTAAGACTACTGTAGAGGGCGCCAATGTCTATTACTTATAACGAACGGGTAGATGCCCGCGAGTAGCCCGGATTGGTCGTTCTATTATGTTGGTAGTAGTGACGGTGGGTTGTACCATAATCGTTATAGAAATATATATATATATATATATATATATATATATATATATATATATATATATATATATATATATATATATATATATATATATATATATATAGTTTGGTCACTCGCCAATTTGAATGGGATATATTCCCACACTACCATATTCTCCAGAAGACGTCAAAAATCACCTGAATCAGTTTTTTGCCAGCAAAGACCAAAAATTTTATGATCGTGGAATCATGCTACTACCAGTAAGATGGTAAAGGATGTCGGATCAGAATGATCAATATAAAATTTAATAAAATATACATTATTCATTATATGAAAATCATCTTTCATTTTCACCAAAAAAAAAAAAAAAAAAACTAAATTACTTTCCGAACAACCCAATAGTTATTATAATAGCAGATCAACAAGGAAGGAACTAGCAGTCATCTTCGAAAACTACTGGATTATAAATATAGTAATTTCTGTGACTTCTGCGATATTTGACGTTTTGAAAGGAAAATCATCAATAAGAAAAGCATCCGATAAATATAATGTAAAACCTGCAACTCTATAGTATAGAATTGAAAAAAAAAGAAGAATAAAGACGGCGAAGGCATGAGTTTTCATCTATCTCCAAGCAAGAATTTACAACCGAACAAGAAGACCAACTAAATTCTTATATAATAAAATGCATCATGGGATTACATTAACTAAAGTGCGACAGATGGTTACAAATAAGCTAAAAAATTTAATTGCAACTGTCCACCATCTTGGGATGTCAATTAAAGTGCTGGCTTAAATTGGGCATATGGTTTTACGTAAGAGAAATAAAAATATTAGATTAAGAAAATCAGAAAACACAAGTATTGCCCGATCATTTTCATTAAATAAGACTGCCGTTAAAACCTTTTTTTAGTAATTTAGAAGATGCTCGAAGATTTAATATTACTTATTGTATTATTAATTTCATTGAAACCGGCATTGCAACGGTTACAACACCAAAGATAATAGCAGCAAAAAACTCAACGTGAAATTGGCCAAAAAATTTCGCCAGAGAGAGGAGAGTTCATGACATTTTGAGGAATCATTACTGGAACTGCCAATAGTATTCCACCTATATATGTTTTCCAGGGTTCATTACAAAAGCCATTTTTGAATGGTGCTCCTGAAGAGTCTTTGGGCTTATCAAATCTACTTAACCAGATCTACTGATTGGATAAATAGTGAATTATTTATAGAGGTTCTTAAACATATCCAAATACATATGTTTGTATTGCATTGTATATGGTTACATATATAAAACACAAATAGCACAAAGGAAAGACCGATTCTTCCAATTTGTGACAATCACGAGTCACATATTTCAATTGAAGCAATTAATTATTCACGTGAAAATGGAATTGTCTAATTATTGTTTCTTCAACATACTCGTACATCTTACAACCTCCAACCTCTTAATGTCAGTGTTTTCGGTTCGTTTAAAACAAAACTCAAGGTAGCCTTCAATGACTAATGGGCACATTAATCACGTTAACTATTTATAATATTCCAAGTTTTTATTAAGTATGTACGGGTGGCTACGTCTACCTTTATAAGCCATTTGATCTTGTCTATTAAACCAGTGTGTAACCGACCTCTGTGTTCACTTGTCGCGCTATATACAATAGTGGCGACGACCGCGCTCGCGCGTTTATTTTATTATTGTTAACTATGGCTGAGTTACCGTTTGGTGGAGCACCCACATTCGAATTCACAACCAATCAAGATTTCCAAATTTACCTACAACGGCTGGAACAGTGGATGTTGGTTCATGATTCCGGTGGGAACGATAAGGCGAAGGTCAAAAAGAGGGCATTACTACTCAGCACACTCAGTGAAGCGACATACAAGTTATATATAGATTTGGCTTTGCCGAATAAGTTGGAGGAGTTGGAATATGAGAAAAACTGAAAATGAGTTACGAGGAGTCGAGCTGGCGTAGATGAGGAACGAATCGTGTTCATCCAACCCCCCGTTCCCCTTCGGCGATCGAGCGAGCAAATGTTTCAGAGCCGAATCGACCCGCTGAAAGTCAACCTAGCCCGAATGTGGTTGACAAGTATACGGGTCGGCAAGATACTAACGAGGACAACAAGGACACCGTCGGTAGGGGAGATGACCACGTGGCCGCGGCGAGCGTATGCATTACACAAGCCGTAAGTTCGACGTGTTCTCGCAAGTAGAATGCGAGCGCCATTGCACGAATGCAGTACGAGGCAAGACAGACCGTCGCCCTTCAACGAAAGCAGCTGCAAATGGAAACGGAATTGATACAGATGAAGTTAGACGCAGACACGGCAGCGTTGCAGGAAAGCAGCCAGGACGAAGAAGATGAACCAGCTGAATAAGTGGAAGATCGAGTCAACGCCTGGATGCAGGATAGCATGAACGCCTTACGGGGGGAGACATCCAGGGTTAAGGCTCAACCACTGGTTCAACAACAAGAGAACATCCACGCCAGAAAAACGAAGCCATTGGAGAAGGTGACATGCATTGAAGAGGACCATACGCCCCAAGCCAGGAAAGCAGTAGCGCCCCTGCTAAATGCGTCCACTCATCCAGAACAAGTGACGAACACACTAAAGCAATGTTTTGGACGGCTGGAGGTGATAGCAGACCAAATGATGGAAGAACTGAAGCGTCTACCAAAGCTTGGCGGATCACCGACGGAGCTCAACACGTTCGCTGTGAAAACACAGAACGCCGTCGTTGTGTTGAAAAAATTGAGAATGGGCTACCTTCATAACCCGTTAATGCTTAGGGAGGTGTTAGAGAAACTCAGCCCACGTCAAAGGGCCCGGTGGTACGATTATGCAGAGTCAGAAATGGAAGCATCGGACCAATCGGAGATCGTGCTGCTATCAGAGTTCCTGATTAAGGAGGCCAACTGAGCACTCAAATATGGCTTCACCACTGCTCTGGCCGGGAAAAAGGAAGCATCACGATCGCCCTTAGGCCGTGTCCCCAGTAGGCAAACTGTTAGCGGCCGACTGAGTTTGCGGCGTATCGATTTAGTACGCCCTTCCATATATTTGAAATGGAGTGTCCACAGTCTGCTAGTTTTGCGCTAACTGTACGCGGTTTGCAGCGTTACGCGCGCTGACTATCTCAGTGAGCGGCCGACTCCCACCAAAACCGGTTTCAGTCGGCGGCGGCGATATGTTTGTGTATTGTTTGCCGGGCGTAGTGACTCAGTTTGCCGCAAACTGTTCATGCGGACCGTTGGAAAAAAGGTATCGCCGTGTTTGGATGTGTTTTTTTGCATCGCACCTAACTAATCTCAACGCACACACACATCACAGATGTCCTTTGATACGGAAAGGTTTATTAGTGAAATACAGAATAGACCATGCATATAGTACGTCGAGTGAAGAATACAGCAACAGAGTATTAAAGCAGAGCAATTGGAATGAAGTCGCTGATATTATTTACGATGATTGGCAAAACTTAGAAGAAAACACTAAACAAAAAAGAAGTAAGTTCCATTTAAATTAATTTATTACTTATTCAACAATATACTTGTATCACTCACTACATAAAACAAAGTATCATCATTTACCTACATATTATTTATGGCTTTACAAACTCCGTTACACTATTTCGTCCTGTAGCTAAAACTTACAAATACTATTTTGCCAGGGTAGCTTTCCTTCGTTAAGAAAATAGTTTTTAAAGTTTTCTTTTGCTGTTTTTCCAGAATTTGATACAGTAATAATTTGGTTCCTTGTACTTGTAAGAGTTGTTGAGGTACGTCGCGAAATATGTGCATATTGTACTTGTTCTCTTGGCAAGAGATTACATAGAAAAAATTAATTTTGAAATTTTCTTTAGCAGTTAACTGAATATCCTCATCTCCTTCATAGTCAAATTGTTTTCGCTTATGGCATCGACGTAGATAAATTTCAACAGGAAATTCCGGTTGTATTTCAAGTGATTCACATAATTCATCAGCAATTTTCAAATACTTTTCGAAATTTTCATCATTTCTAATACTTTGGAAAAAAATTAAAATATTATTAATAGATTCAGCACATGAAGTAAGATTCCAAGAAACGGTCTGCATCATTTTACTAATAATATTTACTTTTTCTAAGATTTCGTACCATATTACTGTGGAACAAATAAATTTGTACGATTTAATTTTCATTGCCAAACATTTAGCTTCATGTTGACCTATTGGTGTTGAACATTCTTCCGCTAGTTCTATTAGGCTGTCATAAATTTCACCTAATTCATGACGCAGTGGTCTAATCGCCTTAATCCTTGATTCCCACCGGGTTACGCTAACTTGTTTTACTGTTAACGATTTTACATGTTTTTTTAAAATTTGCCATCGAAAAGGTGATCCGGAAAAGTAATTGTATATTGCTGACACATTACTAAAAAAATCCACAGTTGAAAAAGAAACTTTCGCTGCATCATTGACGACCAAATTTAATGTATGCGCGTTGCATGGCATAAGCAAAGCTCGTGGATAATTGTCCAAAATTCGTTTCTGCAATCCAATATGTTTTCCAGCCATATTTGATCCATTATCATACCCCTGGCCTCTCATATCGTTAACATTTAATTTAAGAGAGCTTAATTTTTCAATTAAAAAGTCGTAAAAAGCTTCTCCAGTACTTTTTTGAGCTGGAGAAAAACCAACGAAATTTTCTCTCACTTCTACTTCGTCATTTTGAATATGCACATATCTCAAAATTATTGTAATTTGCTCGACATGTCCCATGTCCGGCGTACAATCCAAAATTACTGAAAAATATTTGGCGTCTTTTATTGCTGACAAAATATATTTTTGAATTTGCGCTGCAAGGATACTAATTATTTCATTTTGGAAGCGATTTCCCGCATAATGTGGCATATGGTTCTTTAAAGCAACTGATTGTTGAATGCGATTTATGTGATCTGCCATAACATCATCAAATTTTCCTATCATTTCAATTGCTTTTAGAAAATTTCCATTATTGTTTTCATACAATCTGCTCGAGCTACCTCTAAACGCTAAACCCTGTACTGCCAGAAATTGTACCACAGATATCATGCGTACGACAATTTGATACCATCGTTTTTTCTCTGCGTCATAATACCGTTGCAAATTTTTATCAATTGTAGCTTTGTTTTTTAAATTTAATTCCAAATTTTTCCAATTGGTGCAATTTCCGATATGCAGCGATGTTTTTTCATGACGAGATAAATTATCAGATGTGTGTTGTCAATCATTGAAGCCTTCATTAACTAATTTTATTTCTTGTTTGCCAAATAATTTACAACAGAAGCAAAATATGGAATCCGTTTTTGGAGAATAGATTAACCACTCACGATTAAATTTTTCACCATTTGGCATTTTTCTATAGAAATAAGTTGATGAAAATGATCTTCCCAATTCATTAATTGGATATGTAGATTGTTTATTTTGTATGGGTCCTTTTTCGATTAATATATCCAATATTTTAGTGGTAATTGTTAAAGGCCAGCAAGCTGGATCATTTAAATCCATACACATAGCAAAATATGCTTTATCAATTTCAGCGGTATCGGTATTGTATAGATCGATATCCTTATTATCTTCTGTTTCCATTTCGTCGGTACTACTAGTATTGTCATTAGCCTTTTCATTTTCGACAGATAATTCATTTTCATTTTTATCGCAAAACAAATCATCAATTGGATTTAATTGGCTACTACAACTACTTTCCGGTTCTGGCGATTTTACTAAAAACTTTGTTAATGAGCCAAACATTTTTTTAGCTTCATTTTGCTTTTCCTCTCGCTTTCTTTTATATTGCGCTCCAGGCAATCTTTTCGTTTTCCTTTCAGACATTCGTAGGCCTTTAAAAATGTAAATGAGCAGTGATATTAAATTTTAGGGTAGACTTTCAATTTTGGGCCCGGGAAATTTTGGCGGGTCTTTTTGGAGGGAAAAGGCCTTTTGATATGAAATTCTTAAATAAATATTAAAAAATATTTAATATACATTAATATACATTATATTTAATATAATTAAAATATACATTAATTATAGATTTTAAGTAATTTAATATTAAATTGCGCTATTTTATTATTTATTTTAATTATTATTTAATTTTTTTTTAATTTTTTTAATATTATTAAATATTTTTTAATATTTATTTAAGAATTTCATATCAAAAGGCCTTGTCCCTCCAAAAAGACCCGCCAAAATTTCCCGGGCCCAAAAAGTGAAAGTCTACCCAAATTTTACATTTTTTGTGTATTACCTTTTTCAGTCTTTGTCGAGTAAATAAACTTTTTATTAAATTTCACCACACGAACACACAACTAAAAGTTTTCAGGAATTAAGCAATTTATTTTTATTCGTTAAATTAAAGACTTTAATAATATCGGATCACACACAGGACACAAATAACGATTTATCCTCGCTAGTATATAGACTAATACGACTAATAAGACGAATAAGACCGCTTACGCGACGCCGGTCAATTGAAAAAACTATTTCGGCTCGTCGCTCGTGCAATGTTCGAAAAAATTCGGATTCGCTGCATGACTAGGTATATAAATACTACAACGACCTAATCAGTTTTTATACATTTCTTATTTCTGAGAAACTCTTTTTAGATAGATTAGATTAGAGAAACTGTTTTTACTTCGTATCTTAATGAAAACAAACCGATTGTATTTTTGCCCAGTAAACAACTTGTAACGATTTGGCCGCCTCTTAATTTCGGCCGCCTGCGTGCGGTGCACGCAATGAACGCCCGTCAGGCACGGCCCTGTCTCTTGCTATGACAAAATTATGTAAAATACAAACAACTTTTACGATAGCGATGATTGTATTCACATTAGTTGCAATCGGTGTATGCAAAACTCTCCATTTGCTTGTTAGGATGCCGAATGCATATTTCACGCATCTCCTAGCCCGGTTATGACGATAATTGTAAATTCGCTCTTCCTTATTTAAACTTTTATTAGGAAAAGGCCTCAAGATATGCTTTTGTAATCCAAATGCCTCATCCCCAAGAAACACGAAAGGTTGGGGCAATCCATTTGAATTAGGCAATTTAGTAGAGTTAGGAATCTTCAGAGACCCACGAGCTAATTTTTTACCAAAAGCACTTTCTTTAAATATATTGCTGTCAGCATTTCGTCCGCAAGCACCTACATCAATGGCAATAAAAACAGTTTGCATCTGTTACGGCTAACAGAACAATTGAGAAAAACTTCTTATAATTAAAATAGTTAGACCCACTTTTTAGTGGTTTTCGAATACGAATATGCTTGCTATCGATAGATCCTATACAATTAGGATAATTGGTTTTTTTATAATATCGTTTTGCTATTTCTAGCCACAATGCTTCAGAAAGTTCTGGCATTTCCTGTGGCTGTAAAATATCCCATATAATGCATGTAGTTTCATTTATTATTTTCGATGTTAAAGACCTATAAAAAAATGGAAGGGTTTGCGCGACTATCACGCCAGAGAAAAAAATAAAGATTCCTCACTCAAAAGCGGAAGTGGGGCACCAAAAAAACGCAAGACACCTTACTTGGACATGTTACACTTTTTAAATGTTTCTAGAGCTAGCAACCAGACATCTGGCAATATTAGCGCCGAGACGTCTAACGACAGTAGCGCTTTATTAGATGAAAATGATTCTACTGACTCGGTAGTCAATGTCAGTAGACCAAAAAAGATGACTGTGTTTCAAGAAGCACTAATTAACTAGTGGACTACGTGCATCGCCAAGCTGGATTCCGGTCGCAATCGCAGAAAAGTACTACGAAACATATCCAGCGAGCTGCGGGTACACGGTGTAACATAGGCCATAACTAAAAACGACAGTTATGAGAAGACGCTAGGCCTGTTATGGGATTCGACGAAAGATGTACTTTAAATATAGTACATCTCTAAATCGAGTAAACAAGGAGGTCAAAGACGGAAAACGACCACCAACGAAGAGGGAAGCCCTAAGCGCGGTAATGAGCATATATGACCCGCTGGGGCTGTTAAGTTGCTACACGATCACTGCAAAGAGCGAATTACAGAACCTGTGACGACAGAAGGTGGGCTGGGACGAGAGAATACCCACGGCGTTCGCTGAAGTATTCGCCGAGTGGCTAAGAAGTCTGGAACACATTAGCCATATTGAGCTGCCGCGAAGCTACAACGGGGAGAGTCCAGTACAGAACCGCCAACTTCACGTGTTCTGCGACGCAAGCGAGGATGCTTACGCAGCGGCCGCTTATTGGCGGCTAGAACAAAAAGATGGGAACGTGCGAGTGATATTGGCAGCGGCGAAAGCCAAGGTGGCGCCGCTCAAGACACAAACCATCTCGCGGATGGAACTCTAGGCGGCATTGACAGGGGCACGACTGGCGCACCACGTACGTGACGAGCATCGCTGGGATATAGATAGGATCACGTACTAGACAGACGCACGCGTGGTGCTGCATTGGGTGAGGAACGGGAGGAAGCGATAAACTCCTTATGTTGCACACCGGCTGGGGGAGATCGCCGAGCTGAGCGCCCCGCACCAATGGAAATGGGTACTAACGAAACAAAACGTAGCCGACTTAGCGACGAGACCCGGATACTTGCCGCAAGACGCTGACGATGCGTGGTTCACCGGGCCAGCGTTACTAAGACAACTGGAAGTCGAATGGCCATAGAATATGCCGGAGCAGCCAAGAGAAGAAAGCGAGCAAGTCGTATTACACGCTAACAACACGTGTTCGCTCTGTTTACCAGAACTGGAGCGTTTCTCAAATTACAAACGCCTCATCAGAACGACGGCCTGCGTGCTACTCTTCATACAGAATTGTAAGGGCCCGAAGGGAGATTTGGCCGTTGAACATCTGGATCGGACGGAAAATTTGTAGATAAGGCAGGCACAGGGGGAAGACTTCCCAGCAGAATTAGAAACCCTTCGAAAAGGCAAGCCGATCTCGAAATCTAGTCGACTATATCGCCTCGACCCCGTTTACAAAAATGAAATGCTGCGTATCCATGGGCGAATTGGTGCAGCCGACGTATCGAACGCTGTGAAACGACCAGGTTAGTAGTGGCGCAAGAACACAAATTGTAGGCGACTTACATATTTAATATAAACTTTATTTTGTTTATTTATTTACAAATATTTATTTATATATTGTAGGTCACTTACACAATTAATATTATATTTTATTTATTTATTTACAAATATTTATTCACATATATTTATTTATATATCTTACACACACTAAATCGTACGGATGTAATGAAAACATGCAGTCGAGTAGCGTTGCCGCTCGATCTATTTTTAACCCGTGGCGGTGGCCGCGCGGCCTGCGCGGACGCATAGATCAGTCGAGAACTATCGCTTTGCTGGACAGTTGTTAACTTACGTTATAATATTTAGATATAGCTTCACGCTTATTTTATGTATATAGTTGCTAATTATTATTTTTATCTGTGTCCTCAATCTTTGTAATATATATATAGCTGTGCTCGTATAATCGTTCTCCTTCTGTATTTATGTGATTTGTGAATATTCTGTGTGGATGTACTAAAACATTATATAGGTAGTAAGTCGGACCTTTAATTTATATACTGATCTATCAACCACAATACCCACATCATCATCATATTTCCTAAACAAAGCATCGGACCACTTAAACTAAGAGAGAACGGTTCAGTATTTCAAGAGTTTGGATAATTATCCGGAATCAAAAAAGCTTGCAGCACGCATTCTCTGCATGTTTGGTAGCACCTATTTATGTGAGCAGATGTTTTCCGTCATAACAATAAATAAGAACAAACATCGCACAAGACTTAAGAATGAACATTTCCAATCAGCCCTTAAAATAACTACAACGAATGTGATACCTGACATCAATGAGCTTGTCAAAAACAAGAGAAGTCAGGTATTTGGATTCTCGAGCTCAATATAACCTACCATCTTTTATAACTTTGATATGATTTTTAACAACCGTATATTATATACTTATATAATTTAATAAATAAAATGTTATAGTAATTCAGTTTATATTTTTTATTTTCAATCTGGTACACCTAATTTAAAATTTGTATGGCCCTCTGCAAAATTGAGTTTGACACCTCTGCTCTAATAGTACGAGATCCGGCTGCAGAATCAGTGTACTCATCGAGTGTTTGCTGAAAACCAAATTTTTACACATATTTATGATTAGGAGAATTTATATCTACTAGGTTGCCTATCAAAATGTGGCCGCTAGTATTTTTAATTAAATTATTAATAATTCATAATCCGTAAGAAATTTCATTGACTTGTTTTTTCAGTAAAATGTCGTTCACTTTACGGCAACATCTATAAAGACTGTGAAAAATCATGGTTGCCGTTGCGCACCTGGCCGCACCTCTTCGCAGCCAGGTGTACACAGGTATGATTTTATTACATTTATACACCCACAACGTATATTCATAATTTATATATCAAATTAAAGCTAATTTTTTTCTGTTTATTATAGTATACGGTTGCCTAATTAAATCTGGCCGCAAATAAGGGTTGCTGGCTATTAAATATAGTAAATATTAAAAGTAGAGTGAAAGAGAGCTAGCGCGTAACACCACTAGTCAAACGAGGATAGCGATTGCCAGCTGTTGGACAGTTTAAAGCCATTGCGCATGCGTCAGATGCTAGTGTTCTCAATGGATCAGTTGCGACTTTTATTCTAAGATAAAAACCACGCTGTTTTGGAGTACGTAATACACAATATAATATATTGCTGTTTCATTTGTGCATCGAAAAATTATCAATCTCATCAGTGTGAAATAAAATTTATAAAGATGAAGGCGTGTTTTCTGTGCGACAAAAAATGCAATGTACTAGACTTTGATAATGCTTCATTTAAAAAGTGTTCTCTAATGTTATTGTTTCGTCGTAAGAAAAATATAAATATCATGACATTTTATTAACACTTGAATGTACCGATGATTTCGGATATCATACAGAGTGTTTGAAAAAAGTTACAGTTATAAAGCAAAAAGATAAAGAAGAATTCGAAAGTTTTTGCAAGACACAAACCGTAAGTAAAATTTCAATCGAACTTAAAAAATATAGGTTATAGTTACGATGTAAATAATACAGTGCTAACTTTGAGGTTATTTGTTAGAAATTATTTTTTTTTTATTTTTCATTTTTATAGAAAAACGTGGTCACATAGTTCCACCTAGTAATACCTAGGATATTCAATTTGTTAGATACGTAGAATTCTTCATGTAGTCGAACCTTTTTGAACCTTCTTTCAAATAATTAATAAAGAAATAAAGAAATAAGAAGTAAAGAAGTAAATGCTATCACCGACTTTCTCTGTTAATCATGCTTTATATCTTAACGAAAAAAATATATAATTGTCTATATTTAAAAAATTAAAAAAAAACAAAGATTACATATTTATATTCTTTTAGATTGACTTAATATTGCAATTTAACTTTTTAAAATACAATGAAAACCGTGCTGTTAAATGACAATGGAATATTTTACTATAATACCTCATTTCTTATAATTTACAGATTCCGAGCTTCCCATCAGTTCTTCATGACCAAAGTATTCCTGCTGTAGACTGTGATCTAGTGAGTATATACAGCAGAAATAATATTAATCGGATATAAAAAAAACTTTTCTAGGACTACAGTTTTAATGCAAATTGTCTTTCAACGCATCCATTTATTTTGCAGGACGAATCAAGGGGTAACTTGAATGATGAACTAACTACACTTTCAGTCGATGAACAGCTTCCGACAACTTCTTCAAACGAACAGCCTAGTATATCTGCGCAGGAAGATGCTCATTCTCAGTCTCTTCAAAATTTGTCATCTGCTGCTACAATATCCCAGCAAGCTATTTCATCAACAAACAAAAAATCAGCCTGCTTTTTTTGTGATCATGTTGAGAAAAAAGTTGGTAAAAGACGAATTTATGTAACCTTCCCGCAATCAGAAGTGATAGTTAAAAATATACAATCAATAGCCCAACAATCGAACGACTCAAAACTATTAGCAAAGCTAGAGAGCACTCAATCTGTTGCTTATCATTCAATCTGTTTGTCATCTTATCAGATTTCACAAAAGCGAAAGTGCGAAGAACAACCAGAGCCAAGACATTGGCATAAAAATCGTCAATTTCATCAGTTGGCATTCAATGCAATTTCGGAAATTATAAAAGCAGAGATTATTGAGAATAATCGCGTTATGTATCTCTCTGTTTTGCTATCTCAGTATAAGTCTTTGCTATTGGAATTTGCTGAAGGTCAATTAAGCGCTGAAGATTTGGAGGAATATCGTGCTGAAAAATTAGAAAATAAAATTGTAAAAGCTTTTGGCGATCGTATTACTGTGGAGTCATCCATGGGAACACCAAAAAGGAAAATCATTTATCAGTATGACATGGACACGTCTCGGTTAGCTGGTGAAATTGCTAAATTAGAATCATCCAAGAAGAATCGGTGTCGAGATGTCGCTTACGAATTGCGAAACAGTATAACATCTCTGGAAAGTACGAAGCTACCAGATAATCTGACTCCAGAGGATGTAATTCGTGGAGAGTGTAATATTCCAGAACAACTGTTCAATTTCGTGTGCGACTTAGTTCAAGGACCAGATATTCGTCGTAAAAATTCAGATGACGACTTAGTGAAAATAAAGTCAGTATGTAGTGATCTGATTTATATAGTATCGAAAGGTAGAATTAAACCATCAAAACATCTTACACTCGGGTTATCAATGAAATCTGTGACAAGTTCGCGAAAAGTTCTAACAATATTAAATAGATATGGACATACAATAGGCTATAATTTAGCAGAAGAGCTTGAAACTGAGATGACGTATAGTTCTCAAAAAGAAAACAATGTGATACCGGCCGGTATAAGCAGAGTTGATGGGCTAAGTACTCACGTAGCTTTCGATAATTTTGACCGCTTCGTCGATACAGCCACTGGTAAAGATACTCTGCACGATACAGTCGGTATCATTTATCAGTTTCGCAATAAAGAAGATGGCCCAAATGACATGGACAATTCGGATACTTCCGATTCAGAATCCGTAGGTGCATATGTTCATGAAGGACCCACGGAGCCTCTTGCAAGAGCTCGTAAGAGACGGCGTTTTGAAGCACCTCCAAAGGAAATTCGTCCCTTTGTCAAGATACCTTTCACAAGTATGACGTTTCTTCCTTTTCAAACAATTACTGAAACAATCGATTCGTGTCACTTACAAAAATTAATTGCAGTTGATAAAGATTTGATTTGGAGTATGTCGTTATCTCGAATAGATTCAGTACCCATGTGGTTAGGTTATAATTGCAAAATTGGCATTGATGAGAGTAAAATCCAGACAGTCGAGTACTTATCACCAATAAATGAGTCTCCTACGTCGCTAGCTGTTGTTCAGGAAACTCTTAACATTGCAAAGGAAGTTGCTAAGAATTGTAATCAACAACAGATCATAGCTACTTACGATTTAGCAATAGCCAAATTAGCTATGCAGATTCAACATACTAAAAAGCCAGAATTTGACGATATATTCATTAATTTAGGTGCATTCCATACTCAAATGGCTTTCTTCAAAGCAATTGGAAAGTATATTGATTCTAGTGGACTAATAGAGATTTTAGTTGAGGCTGGGGCACTAGCAGGAGGTTCAATGAACAGCTTTTTGGACAGTAAACATTTTAATCGATGTAAGCGGCTACATCCCTTAGCTTCTAGTGCTTTGGAGATTCTTCATTTTGAACAATATTTATTTGAAATTAACACGGATGGTGGAGAAACTTTGAACGAAGACTTAAACGTGGTAATGAATACTTCGTATGGAATCAATGAGAGCATTATTTTACCTGATTCACTGCATTTAATACTGGAGGGTTACAAACAATTTCGCGAAATAACACTTCAGGGCGGTCATGGAAAGACAGCTCAATATTACTTGCAGTATACTGAGCTTATAAACATATTTCTTCGATTTTCTAGAAGTATTCGTTGCAGTAATTTTGAACTCTACTTGGATTCTATCTTCGAAATGTGTGGTTACTTTTTTGCATTCAATCAGCCGAATTATGCCAAATGGGCTGCTATGTATTTAAATAACTTAATCAAGCTGAAGGTTGAAAATTCGACTTTACTTCAGGAATTTCGTGAAGGTGCATTCGGTATTAGACGCACAAAATCATGCTTGGGCAGATCACCTGTAGATTTGACTTTAGAGCAGACAATTAATGCTGATGCCGGTAATACCTTGACTGGTGTTAGCCATTTCACAAACTCGATCGCTGCTCGAGAAAGATGGGCTCTTAGTCATAGTGTCAGAACAAAAATTATGTCATTTGTAAAAGCAGAAATCGGATTTTCTCAAGCAGATGATACTTCTTATACGTTAAAGAAGAATCGAATTGAGAAAGACTCAAAGACTCTGAACAGCATTGTTGAAACGATTAAGAAAACAATGAATCCTTTTTCTGAAAATGTAGACCACCAGCTACCTACCAGAGGGAGACTTTGTACAAAAGTCGATTGCTTGGGCACCTCTGTCCCATTCGTGTTTCAACCGTGAAGCAGTTGTGTTTGCATGACTGTGTTTCGGTTTGAAGGGTGGGATATGGCGTGAATTTACAGGGTACAGAGGAATAACACCTGAGTCCTCAGGAATGGCAACGCATGGGGGTATCATGGGTGAAACAGTATAGTCTGCTATGTCCATGGTACTGCTCATGTCTATAGGCGACGGTTACCACTTTCCATCAGGTGGGCCGTCAGCTTGTTTGTCATTCTAAGTTGCATAAAAAAAAAAAAAAAAAAAATCTTCAAATGTTACCAATTTTTTACTCAACGTTAATTCCTTAGGTCAAGAACAAAAGTTAAAGTTTTTTTCGGATTGCTTTGAAGATTCAACAAGATTCGTGAGACCAATAACTCGTAATAAAATACATAACTTCGCTTCAGATTGTGCTAAAAAAAGTATTAAGAGTGCCACCGGAGACAAAAAAACATTAATTAAAATGGAACGAGATATTTTTGGACGTCTGTTAGCAATTGCTATAAATCAAAAAGTTGACATTGGACACTGTCTATCATTCCCTCTTGCACCTGTACCTCCTGCACTATTCCACTGTTCAGGCGACATGATGAAGACGGACAAGTCAGCTTTAAGTAAACAATTGACGGCAAAGATTGCACCAACTAATCCGGGACAAGTCGACATAGAAATCATTGATGGTTTTTATTATTTATATTTAATTGGCTCTACTTTACCACAAACATTTGGAAAAATTGCAGAATCGATATTGATAAAACTATGTTCAAAGAATGCTCCAGTAGTTCATATCATCTTTGATAGATATTTAACGCCTTCCATTAAAGATTGCGAACGAGAAAACCGAGAAGGAATTGATATTCCATACACAATTAATGGGCCTTTGCAAACAAGACCCAATGATTTTCAAAAAAGCTTAAAGAACTTTCGTTTCAAAGAAGCCCTGGTAAAATTCTTAGCTAATCATTGGGCTGATCATTCTTTTGCAGCAGTATTAGGAAATAAAAAAATTTACATTACTGTTGAAGAGAAATGTTTTTCATATTGTTCTGCTGGAAATGTTGTAGTGAAAACTGAAGAAACCGAATTATCATGTTCACATGAAGAAGCTGATACAAGAATTGTTTTTCACATAAGTAAAGTACCTGAAAATTTAAAAATTTTGGTGAAAGCAGCAGACACTGATGTTTTAATAATTTTATTAGGTAATATCCATAAATTTCCTAATTTGCAAATTTGGTTGGCCAACAGTAAATCAAAAAAATTAATAATAAGGACGAAGTTTACATCAATTGTACGGACTTATCAATAAAATTAGGTCCAACTTTATGTCTTGCTTTGCCTGCTTTTCACGCATTTACGGGTTGCGACTACACAGCTGCATTCTTTAGCAAAGGGAAAGTTAGACCCTTCAATGTATTTATTAAGCATCCACAAATTCAACAAGTTTTTGCGTCTTTGCAGAATCCTTATGACATTTACAACGAAACCAAAATCGATGCAGTTCAACATTTTACGTGCCTTATGTATGGACTTCCAAAGTGCCAAAGTGTAAATGCCGCAAGATTGTTATTATTCAACAAAATGTACGCTTCAAAAGAAAACAGTGAAAAATTTATGAAAAGAATTCAAGGTTTTGACTCGACGCACATTCCACCGTGCTGGAAATCTTTAAAGCAAAAATTATTACGGACAATCTTTGTTAATTTGATGTGGTTAAATGCTACTGAGTCGGATTGCATCAAGTTCAGCGCGGAAAATAATGGCTGGCTGTTGTTCGATGGTTTTTTAAAACCAACATGGTTCCTGGGAGACTCAACTCCAGCGCAAGTTGAGAGTGTGCTGTGTGATTCCACGAACAAGCCTTCCGATAATAACGACGATACCGATATTTGCGATGAAAGTGATAGCTGCGATGATAGTGTGACTGAGAGCTCCGATGATTCAGATTTTTAAAAAAGAGTCACGGAAATATAAAATACATTTTAAAAAATTATAATTTGCTTAAATTGATGAATATGTAAAATATATGTAATACTTGAATAAAATCAAATCTTTTTTCATACAGTACTTGCACAACACAATTTTTTTTACATGGTTTTTTACAACCTTGGTTTTATTCATCATCAATATCCATTTTTTTTTTATTTTAAATTTGTTATTTATTTTTTAATTTTTTTATTTTGAAAAGAAAGACGTTCTTTTTGGAGTATTTATTATTTTGAGGCGTACCTACTATTGTTTGAATCGGAGGTTGAGAACAATAGCATTTGACGCATGCGCAATGGCTTTAAACTGTCCAACAGCTGGCAATCGCTATCCTCGTTTGACTAGTGGTGTTACGCGCTAGCTCTCTTTCACTCTACTTTTAATATTTACTATATTTAATAGCCAGCAACCCTTATTTGCGGCCAGATTTAATTAGGCAACCGTATATGATAATAAACAGAAAAAAATTAGCTTTAATTTGATATATAAATTATGAATGTACGTTGTGGGTGTATAAATGTAATAAAATCATACCTGTGTACACCTGGCTGCGAAGAGGTGCGGCCAGGTGCGCAACGGCAACCATGATTTTTCACAGTCTTTATAGATGTTGCCGTAAAGTGAACGACATTTTACTGAAAAAACAAGTCAATGAAATTTCTTACGGATTATGAATTATTAATAATTTAATTAAAAATACTAGCGGCCACATTTTGATAGGCAACCTAGTAGATATAAATTCTCCTAATCATAAATATGTGTAAAAATTTGGTTTTCAGCAAACACTCGATGAGTACACTGATTCTGCAGCCGGATCTTAGACTACGAGAGCAACAAGGGATTTAACAAGAGCATTGATTATAATATCTTTATTTAATTCAGATTTATTTACATTTGAAATTAATTGAGAGCTATATACATTACTGGATTTTTCCAGATATAGAAAACTTTTTGAGTCTGAAACATTTGAAGGCATACTCATAACAGTGGCATGACTACGATTGAGGTACTTATTCCTTTTCTCTTCCATTTTCTTCTTTTTAATGGGACAATTCCCAGAAAGTACTAGATGACTGCCGCCACAATTAAAACACATCGTGTCAACATCACATTCTTTATATAAGTGCTGACCAGCACACTATGAGCACATCTGTACAGCTCGGCAAATTTTGGTTGAATAGTTAAATTTTAGACATTTGGAACATTGAACTAATGGTGGAATGTAATGCACAGGATATCTGAAAAACAATGTAAACAATTTTTGACAATGTTGTTGCTGCAAATGTGACAGCAACTGTACCTAAATGAGTAAGTATTCCATCGTCTTTTCTCATAAAACGTTTAATAGAAATTACTTCTGCGTCAAAGCTAATATTTCTATATATATCTTCATTAGACATATCTGTCGGTACATACTGAAAATAGAATTCTTATAAGTTATCCATACTTTATTAATAATATACCATACGATTGGAAAAAAAGGAATCCATTCGTGACTTAGGTATTAATATTAGACTCAAAATTGTCATTTAGACAACATTATGATTACTTAGTTGCAAAAGTTGAATTTAGGGGTTTATCTTTAAAAGAATTAGACCTTTTAAAAACTCGCAAACTATTTTGTCATTCTATACAACACTAGTTAGAAGTTCACTTGAGTACTGTTCTGTTATTTGGTCTCCCTTTTTATCAGAACCACATTGACAGAATAGAAGCAATTCAAAAACGCTTTGTTAGATTCTTGAGCACTAAGTTTGGTCTGAGAAGGAAACTTCATTCGTATGAATTAAGACTTAATCATTTTAACATTAATTCTCTTATAAATAGAAGATCTATGTCTGATTTCATCACTGTCTATAAAATAATAAACTATAAATGGGACAAGTAGCACATTGTTGAGTTTTGTTTCATTTCGTACAGGTAATAAAAGAATACAAAAAATATTTTATATACTGATTTGTAATAATAATGTATCGTATCACAATCCAATTATCCGCATGTGCAGAAAATATAACAATGTATGCAAGGACCTTGATATTTTCCGACAATCCTTGCAATGTTACATTAAGGCTGCCAATTTGTTACTTTAAATTTATAGCCGTCATTCTTTTAATGTATATAATATCGAATGTTATGCAGAGCAGTTGTTGGAGTGCAAATTTAATGCTGTTTTATGTAGTATTTATTTTATTAATGTATTAGTTTGTAATCTGTTGCCTTGCTAAATAAACAGATAATGCTAGTTTTTTTTTTTGTATTAAATATGCCGGTACAAAAGCTTGAAATTTATTTTTATTCAAACATGGTCCATTTTAAGGAAATTATTTGCTGGTACCGGTTTTCTAAATGTGACACCAATTTTATAGGCGTTCACTCGATAAACTTCTACGATACCCTTTACATTTTCCGTAAATAATTTAGTCAAAGTTATAGGATTTTTATTCCCTACTTTCTCGTCTTACGTTGATTCTACGTACACTCCACAATCAACACAATGATTTTCTGGAAAATGTCTCTTGTAATTTGGTTTGGTGTACATTTTATAAACTTCACAAATACCTGAGTTATTAAGTGCTAATTTACGTTTCTTTGCCTGATCTTTCCTTTTCCTTGCAAGGTCGACGAGGTCTCCCCCGTCGCTACTTACACTCATTTTCTTTACTGTATATTACTATCTACAAATAGTTTTTAACACACAAATAAACAAAATATTTAGAAACAAAATAAAAAAGTGGAAATTTAAATCGCCCGTTAAGTTTAATTTTCCGCCAAAAAGTCCAACGAACTTGTCAATAAGTCCAACTGTCAAATTAATGTTACTTAAAAATAAATCACAGCACTCTTCTTTATAAGTAAGCACAAGTTGGTGCATTGAGACGCTAAGTAGTTCATCACATATCCTGTTGATACGTTAGAAGAAAAATGGGTTGGTTGAAAATCGATTCTCTAACGAATACGAACGTTGTATGGCTCTAACAGAAAACCAAATGGCATCGGTCTTATGGCGAGCTGAAGGAAGGTACACTCGTCGTCAGCAAGGAAAAGAAGTCATCTCCATGCTCCAGGCTCCTGGGCCGTGTTATCCGCATCATACCTGGAAGGGGCGGTATCGCAAGGGTTGCCGACTTCCAGACCAAGAAGGGTGTCATTCGTCGAGCATATAACACCATCTGCCCCTTGCCAGTGAAGAGTCTTGAACTTGACACTTCAACGCGGGGGGTATATAGTCAAGTTATCTAATTGTCTGCGGAGGAGGTCGCAGGGCGCGAGGCGCAGAGCGACGACGAGCAGACTCGTGGCTCGCAAAAGGCAGACAGGTCATCCAGCATAGTCGCAGCCGCAGGCGCACACTGCGTTCCGTAATTTAACTATCGGGCTAAAGTTTATAGTTTATAACCCAGTCAATATCATACAAACCACTCTTATTCTACTCTAAACAATATAACAATATTAAACGCAAGAGATCATGAAGCAGAAAAGATGAATTGGCTCAAAGCATTTGGAAAGCCAATATCCATCAAAAAAGGTGATGGTGTCTGTTTGATGGGATTTTAAAGAAATCGTTTTTTTTATAGCTTTTTCCAGATAATACAACAATTAATTCAGAAGTCGACAAACTGAATGATACGTTTCAACAGAAAAGGCCAGAATTATTCAAAAGAAGTGTAGTGTTTCATCAAAATAAAATCTGTGATTCTGTCAGTTTTGGAGCCGAAGTGCGTCGCAAATGGGATACAACGCCCAGCGGTTTATATGTGGTAAGTTTTCATGTTTTAGTTTTAACTGTATAGTAAGCAGAATTGTGGGTTGTGAATTGAAAGACTCCGATTGTCAAAACAAGTTTAATACGAGTAACAAGTAGGGGAGGTAGGGGAGCATTGGGCACTTTTTTACATAAATGTTAATAAAACTGTTATTTTTTATCATAATCAAAATTTTATTCCTAATATAGGGAGCACACATATTTGGTAGTAATTATTATTAAGAAAAGTTTCAATATTGTAATTAGTTTCAAAGTTACAAGAGATCTTCGAACACATGTCCAAAGTGCCCAAACCTCCCGGCGGTCGGGAGGTTTGGGCACCCATGTAGGGAGGTTTGGGCACTGTATTTAATATGCACGAAATTGCTTTACTATACTACTAGGCTTAAGTATTATATAACATTACTATAAAAAATTGTAATACAAACATTTTTTCTTATCATAGATTTTAGAAAAATTTAACAATGTGACTTAGAATCAGTACTGCACGATGTTAGACTTAATTAAACTTATCTTATATTTGGTATGATCCATAGAGGCTTGTCAAATTTATATTTTAAGCTGCCACGTTTCATCCATGTCGTTGGTGTAGGCAATTTTGTCTTTATATCCTCCAGGAGGACACTGGCTACGTCCTCGATGTCAGGAAATATAAAAGTATTTCTTAACTTACTCACTCTCATAAATTTTACAGTTGCCATCGTCTGATTAACATCTTCGATTATTCCAACATAATGGTAGACAGTTTTTTTGGTGTCAAATTTCACTAATACAAAGTTATTGATCTGGAAATTTCTATCCAGAACGATCACATCGTCTTCATCAAAATCTTCCGATTCAACAACGGTTTCGTCAGAAACTGAAACATTTTCTATTTCATCATCGCTGCTAATTTTCCTGTTTTTCTCTAGTTTGGAAGTAAATTCATCAGCAAGTTTCGGAATTTTTTTCTGTCCTGTATTTTTGAAGCATTTTCTATTTTTGTTGAGCTCTTTGATCTTATTTTTTCTTTGTCTTTCTTCTTCTTCCATTTCTATAAGTCTTTTCTCGGGTGTGTCCGTCAATATTCTAGTTTTTCCCTTCTTCCGTTTCATACCCTGCAATTTCCTGGGGCCGGCCTTCGGATACGGTCTTACTACATCAGGTGTTACATTGACAGTGCCACTAATTTGACTTGTAGAGGGAGATTCCAGTTGAGATGGCCCAATGACTTCCACATTTGAACTTGTACGATCCTCTAGACTCTGATTTTCCCCTGTTGAAGGCTGTTCAGTGACAGGTTGGTCTGAAATAGATTGTTCTGAAGGAACATTACCCTCTTCCGACAAGCAGCGATCAGTTATAAAAGAACAAGCGAAATCTTCATCGGAGAAAATATTTGAATTCAATGGCCATATGCCAGATTTTTCAAATCCACTTTGAATATTCTGCAACTTGAATGCTAGTGGAATGGCTTTTGCTGCTAATTTTGGTATTTCATAAATTGTTACTGTTTTGGCCGGATTGCTTACCATCCAATCTGTTACAGCAGTGTTATAATAAGTTTTCAGTGGTCCATAGACAGTCAGGTCTAGAGGTTGCAGTTTATGGCTGCAGTGTGGTGGGAAAGTCATTAAAACAATGCCTGATTGTTTGCAAAAATCGAGAACTGGTACTGAAATACGAGGTTTGTCCGGAAAGTACGTATAAAAGTTTTTTAAAAATTTTATTTTACAATTATTCAGGTAAATCAATTTTATCCCCTTCAAAGTACTCCCCCTGTGACATAATGCACTTGTGCCAACGCCGTTTCCACTGTGAGAAGGCTCCTTGAAAGTCCTCTGGTTGTAGGTTTCTCAGCTGCCCCGTCGTAGCTTTTTTTATCTCATTTATGTCCCCCAAATGCCGCCCCCGAAGTACCAATTTGGTTTTTGGGAACAAGAAGAAGTCACACGGGGCCAAATCCGGCGAATAGGGGGGGGTGTTCGGTCACCGTAATGGAATTTTTACTCAAAAACTCACGGACAACAAGAGAGGTGTGGGCAGGGGCATTGTCGTGGTGAAGAA